GTGTGTGTGTGTGTGTGTGTACATATGTATATATATATATATATAAGCGCGTGTGTGCTTTGCATATTTGATCTGACTGTAGCCCGTTCCGACCGCAACAAAGTATCATGCCACGTTGAATAGGCGCGTGTCTGTATACCGTTATTTGCCCGCGTGTTAATGGTATTTCTATACATACACGTATGTCACTTCCAAATCTCCCTATTTTTGTGCGTATGTGTTTCTGTACATGTGCGTCTGTCTTCTTGTATATGTGCGTGTGTGTGTGCCACATGACCAATACATTGCACAAACACCTATGCCTAGTGCTGCAGCCAAACCCTACACACACACCTTACAGCTCATCCCAGTGCATCTCCGTATGCCTACCGATACTACCTACCTCCCTATCGCTACCTACGAATCTGTGGGTACGAACGGGCCATACCCGATTCGGGTTGTATTTCATACATTATGTTTCATATCCTCGTGAACGGGTATCACCTCTCCGATTATCTTGTGCACCATGTTCGCTGAAGCCCCACATTTGACCCCTATCGCCATTCGTTTTGGCCCAAAGCATGTGTGTCTGTGCTGCCGTGTCTACGCCACCGTATGTCCCCCTGACATCTCGAGCCGACAACGCTAGTTGGATTGTCTCACACCTACGTATATTCGCCTCAACAACATGAGCTACGATTACCCCTTAATTGTCCCATACCGGCTCAATCCCCCACTTAACAAGATGATATAAAATTCCTCCTTCATTGTTTCACATCGACTTAAGTTCCCGTTGTTTATATGATCTAATATTCCTCTTTAATTGTCCTACAGTATGATGCCGCTGACTCAAGGCTTTGGCACGTTGGCCGACAAGCTTAAACCGCAGGAGTCTAAGTTTGTGTTCGGTATGTCAAGGACATCTGTGCGCACTTTTCCGATCCCCGCCAATTTTCTCGAGTCATCATCTATTTATAGAACTCGCTGCATATGCGGTATACCGTTTCACTGCCTTTTTTTTTATGACAACACATATACTCGTATACTGCATAAACAGTTTGTCATGGACTCGTGACTATTTATGCTCAGGCATATGTAGATATATATATATGTATATGCACGCCAACTTGAAGCATCTCTGTGTGCGACTATTTTTGCTCAGGCATATATATATATGCACGCCAACTTAAGGCATCTCTGTGTGTGACTATCTATCTACTCGTTCGTCTTTCTTTGTGTGTTACCATATTTACTTGTGTAGTGCGCACATGCTCTTGAAGTGGAACTAATCTCTTCATGGGCACCAACATGTGCCTGCACGCTGTATCGTTATCGTCGATTGTGTGTGTGACTATATATATATATATATATATATACGACATCTCACTCTCTGTCTGACCTGATACTGACAGGTGCACATCCATGCACAGATATGAGTCCACAGGCACGCTTCACCTCCATCTCTTGATGTGTGTCATTGCACATGCCTCTGTAGAATATACACCTACCCCAACTGACTTCTGTTCTCATATACGCACAGATATGAGTATACAGACTCGCACCCGCATGCTTCTCCGTGGGGCGATGCGCATACTCATGCCTCGCTTTCTGCATGAGTACTTCTTGTTTGTGTAGTACGTATGTGTCAGGCGACTGATTACCGTTCGATATCTCACAGATATGGGTCTGCAAGCACCGCTCGTGCCACAGCTAGCCAACAGAAAGGAAGAACCGCTCACAGCCACACACACGTTGATGTCAGATGTGCTTGCCTTTATGCTGTCCTTAATGCACAACGAGGTTATCACACTGGGGCAGGAGCCATGCAAGGTATATTTGGTTGTAGGGTATATATATATATATATATATAATGTGTGTGTGTTTGTGTGTGTGTGTGTGTTGTGTATGTGTCTGTGTCTGTGTCTGTGTCTGTGTCTGAGTATGTGTATGTGTCTCTGTGTGTGTGTGTGTGTGCATGAATCACAGAATAGCTAGGAGCACAGAATAGCTAGGAGCACATGCGACAACTGCCCTTGTCATGTGTGTGTACTCATATACGCTCTAATTCTCGTAGTACGTTTGTTCTATCACAATCCATTGCGTGTGTGTGCGTGCTGAGATGTGTGTATGTCTAAACACCTGCGCTCTTGCTACCCATGTGTCTGCCCCAATCATGTTCATCCAACGTATGCGTGTAAAACGTATGCGTGTAACTCTACACCTGGATATATCCCGCAAGGTTTGCCTCTGTGTGTAGGTACATCTTCTCGGCGTGACTGTGTGTATGGATAGGGGGGATGTGCTGTAGTGGGGTGTAGTATACTGTGAGTGACTGTGTATGGATA